CATTTGGGAAGACTGACAGAGATACAGGGTCTGGGCCTTAGGACCAGAAATCCTGACTCGTTTGTTCTGGAATGGAGTTAGCTATGCACTAGCCGTGGACCACACTGAGCAACTTTGTCTAGCCCACCACCACCTTGTGTGTTTTAAGCTATATTTTATTACTAAATGAGTCACGCGAGAGTGTTTGACTTTGATTCTGATCGTAATCTCCGATGCAGAGGACTCATAATCTCCAATGCAGAAGACTCATGATGGCCTCAGGTATTTTCTGTGTTCTTTGCCTCCTGAAATGTGTTCCACTCAGCCCTACAAGCTTCCTCCCACATGTTTGTTCAGAATGTAGCTCCAGGCCAAGGACCTTAAACTTTTACCTTGCTCTCTCCTTCCCAGTGGACAGTGAGGGGAGGACACGTCTCAAGTTGCCAAATGGGCTGTAAGGGGGGGGGGGTAGCATGGCTATATTCTAATATCCTGGGCTCTTTTTGGGACCAGGAGGCTGGTTCTGGCCCCTGTAATGTTTCTAGCACCAGGGGGGAGGTGGTTTGGGACACCCCTGCACCTGATCTGATCATGGGAGGCAATCTGAGGTGGGGGAAAGAGTGCTGAGAGGGAATCAGGACTACACTGGACAGTGGTGCAGTTCACGTGCTGAGCCAAGTAAGTTTGGGTTAAACAGCTGATTTCTTAGCTTGGGTTAAAGTTGAATTTCTTGACTGCAGGACTTCGAAGAGCCTTTGACATGGAGTGTGTACTGCCTAATCTTAAAAAAGGAAGTATGAACAGTGTTTTTAAACACGTTTGACCATGAGACCCTTGTGTAGTTGAATAACCTACCAACTCCTCGCTGTATGCAGTTAGTGAAATGCCGACCTTGGAGTTACAATCATTGCACTTTCTGACCCTGTGTCATTGATCTACTGATTCTCTCTGGGCCTTCATGTATCCTTGAGGAGGAAACACCATTCCTGACGGGAATTCAGAGAGAATTCCTGATGGTGCAACACAGAATGGGTGGAGGAGGAGACCTAATCTCACTCGTTCTGGGGGAAGTGAGGGCCTCTTCCTCCTCTGGGAACCGGCGAGGATTCCCAGAGGAACCTGTGGTCTGTTCTTGGCTGTCCTATCTGGGCGTGAGCTGCATTTAAGGCTCCCCCCACCCCCCACCATTTCTGTTGAGTTCTGAAAGGCCTGCTTGACATATGGGGTCTGGTTTCTTTCTGTGGGCCTCAGGACTCCCACCATCGGCCAGGCATTGGGGGCTTTGCCTGCCTGGCCTGCGGGGCGGCCTCAAGCCTGAATGGAACTACACGGGTAAGGTTCCCCTTGCTGGGCTTTTCTCCTTTTGTTTGCAAAAAGATCATTGCCTCCAGTATTGCTGAGGTCTGACTACAGCCCCTGCATTTGAGAGATGGGGCAAGTTCTAGGGGGACCTTTGCCCACAGGCAAGCAAAACCTTACAAGAAGAAATGTGAGAACTAGCTGCTCGCAGACATCTCCCTTGGTCATCTGGGGTGCGGAAGCAAGCATCTGGGTGGGCAGGGCGATGCGATGCCTGTGGGTAAGGCCCATCTGGAGGATGCTGGAGGCGCTCCGAGGCCCACCACTTGGATGTTGCAGATGGTCAGAGTAAAGGAGGGGGGAACATACACAGATAGTCAGTTCCTGGGCCAAAGGCATTTAGAAAGTACATTATCAGGCCGTCCTTTCTGGTCCCTTTAGGAACTGAGGCTGAGAAGGAAGATGAGGCAGCAGAAGGGAGAGTTCACAGCACCCCCCGTGCAGCCGGGGACAGCGCTAGTCAGAGAACAGGCTGGCAAAAGACTTCCTCAGGTTGCGGATGGTTTCGGCCTTGGCCTCGTCTTCACTTGGGGTCCCGCGCTGGGAGGTGTCAGATGTGCTGAGGCTGTTGGTCAGGGACTGGGATTTGCTGAAACAGAAAGGCGAGGGGGTTGGGGGCAGCAGGGCCTGGACTGCGGAGGGAGGGAGTTGCAGGGGCTTGCCTGGAAGCCAGCCGGGCGGGCCGGTCCTCACAAGGGTCAAGCCCAGGAAGCAGGCCTTCTAGCCCCTCCATGCTGCTGGGGCATCACACACATTCTGTAACCTGCAAAAAGGTATCCGCCTTTCTTAGGGTCAGAAATTGGGGCTCACAGCAACAGGGTCCACAGCTCACATTCTTTCCACTAGCCCAGGCTGCCCACACGGCAGGCGTTACTTGGGAGCAACCCGACCACCCCTTCCGCCCGTGTGTACTAACCCACTTCGTAAACTGTGAGGTGCTGTCTCAATATCAGGTCATGGTTGCTCCTCCTATACTTTCCAGCACTAGTTGCGGAATCAGGAGGCCTGTGTTCCAACCCTGCTCTGCCATCTGACCCCTCTGGCAAGCCACACTGCTGAGGGCCTCCTCTACGTCACCGTGAAAGGGGGGTCGGCCCAGCGCACCCTCAGGCCTCTTCTAGCTCTGTCACTCTGGCTTCAAGTCTCACCTCTTTCCTGAAGGCTTTGGTGCTGATTGCAGCCTATTTTGAACTTCTGAGGGGGCCTACTGTTTGAACTGCAGTGTTTGAACCTTTGTGCCAGCCTAGCGAGAGGGGACAGGGCTGTAGAGATGAATGCGATTCAGGCCCTGCCCTCAAGAGGTTCACAGTCTAGTGGAGGTGACAGACACAGGAAGAGATGATATAAACTGGTCACAAGTTTAAGAGATCCACACACGTTCTTGTCATCACTATAAAAAATTGAAATCCTTTTCAAAGCAGGGACTGTCTTTTACCCCTTGCTTATTCCATGTGAGGCCTTATCCAGGACTGGGCACAGAGCGGGTATTTAGTAAGTCCTGCTGACTTGAACCAAATAATACTTCAGAGCCACAGACCAGGAGATTAAAGTGTGTCTAGCTAGATTACCAAAATGGTGGTGTCCAAACCTGGCATAAGTCCCAAAGCCCTCACCTGTCCTGTAGTTAGCCGGGCTGCGTCTTCTCGCCTGGTGAGAGTCTGTCACAGATAGCACTTGTATAAAGCCAGCAGTGTTCTAAGCGCTAGTTGTGCAGAAACTAATTTTAACCTTTGTAATAATCCTGTGGGGTAAGTACCAATTTCCCAATTTTCATGTGAGGAAGGAGAAACATAGAGGTTAAGTAACTTTTCTGGGGCATGCAGCTTTTAAGTGATAGAGCTGGCATTTGCACCCAGACAGTCTGACTCAGAATCTGTGCTGTCAGTCACTCTGCCTTATTGCCTGGAGGGCGTCTTGCTCATAGCTATCAAACTAAAAATGCATTTATCCTTTGATCCAACAATACCATTTCATGCATTTTCTCTACAGCTGATCCTGCACACATAAAAATAGCATGTGTTTAAGGTTATTCATCACAGCCTTCTTTGTAAGAGCAAACCATATTTCCCTGTATAGTGGGTTAATTAGACAAATCATGGTACAGCTATACTGGGGAATACTATACAGCTGTGAAAAGGGAGCACGTCAGTGAACTGAGTAGAAGAGCTCCAGGACTTCTTAAATGTAAAAGCAAGGAGCAGTATGGGGAGGATAGTGATTACTACCATTTGTGTAAAAAAATAGGGGGGAGGGAATCAACATATATTTTTATATTTGCATAAGGCAACACTAGGGGGACATGTAAGGAACTCACAGAATTGGTCACCTCTGGAGAGCAGGAGGCAAGAAAGCATCGGATGGGAATGAAGTGGGGGTGAAGTTTTTCAATACATACTTTTGATATTATTGACATCTTTTAGATCTTTGAACCATGTGAATATATTAATTTTAAAAAATTACAGGGTAGCATGATCTATGGAGTGGATGTCCTGTGTCTGTTGCTAGCTCTTTTACTTACTCTTACTTAATGGTGGAAACTGGCAAATTATTGATTTCTTTCTCTCAACTGTTTACTCATCTGTAAAATGGGGATGATAATAGTTATAAACTCTTAAGCTTGTGAAAATTAAGAAAAGGGCCAACTATGTAAAATGCTTGGCACAGAGTAGATGATAGGCCTAGCAGTGAAATGAGGATGAGGCCCATGGAGAGAGAGAGGCCTAGCTGAGAGCCGACACCGACCGACCGGGGGGTGGTGTGGGGGGTGGTGTGGGGGGTGGTGTGTGTGTGTGTGTGTNGAACAAAACAGCAGCAGAATCACAGAACCCAAGAAAGGACTAACAGTTACCAAAGGGAAAGGGACTGGGGAGGATGGGTGGGAAGGGAGGGAGAAAGGGGGGGGAAGAAAAAAGGAGGCCTTACGATTAGCATGTATAATGTGGGGGGGGGGCACAGGGAGGGCTGTGCAACACAGAGAAGACAAGTAGTGATTTTACAGCATCTTACTACACTGATGGATGGTGACTAATGGGGTATGTGGGGGGGACTTGGTGAAGGCGGCAGTCTAGTAAACGTAATGTTCCTCATGTAATTGTAGATTAATGATACCAAAATAAAATTCTTAAAAAAAAGCGGGAAAAAAAATACAATCACTTTGTATCTCATTTCCAAATTGTGGTCTACAAGTCCATTTGTAAGCTTGAGTGTTCAGATTTTATAGTGAATTTCCCTATATTATTTGATTTTCCATATGTAGGTAATTTGAAGGGCTATAGCTTTTATAAACCTGTATTGTAACTTCTGGAGACTACATCACTATCTTTTATCAAACTCTTCATTAAACTTAACATTGAAGGGGTTCTTTTCTCATTTCATATTTCAAGTAAATAAGTACATAAAAAAATGTGTCATGAATGTGCTTCTGAGAGTCGAATCATTCAGAACAGGGTTGGGAGAATATAACCCAAACAAGAAAACCTCAAGTCAGCTTTACCTCCAGGAATGACTGTGGGCTGTAATACAGACACTCAGAGGTTGCCACCCGTTTCCTGTAACCTGGTACTTGGGGTCAGAAGCAGCTGACACATCTCGTAGAGATTAGGGAGAAGATGCAGTGTGGGGAGAGAGCAGTTACGTAGCCCCCCACGTCCCTGAGTTACCACAGTGCAGAACAATCAAGAGAGGCTCTGAGTTAGATTCAAGAAGATACCGGGGATAGAGTGTGTGTTAAATGACTCCAGTTCCTTTTTGTGCTTAATGGGTAAGCTTCATTTTCCTTAAGACGAGCAAACTTACTGTGCAATGCTGAATGAATGAAGCGTTTTTAAATCCTTACTTTGTGTTTTTCTTTTGTAGATGGCACTGTCAGAGGTCGAGACACAGATTGGAAAGAAGTAGGTGTTTTTAAATAATCAAGGCCAATGTTCATAGCATAGAAATAACTAGGGCATGAATAAGGGCATATTTCGCTTTTACTCTGATATAATGGAAACTGGTTTTCATTAAATTTATTGCTAATTTCAGTAAATGAAAATATTTTCAACTTTCATCTTGGACTCAGCCCTTGTTTTCTTGTAATTGCATAGGAAAAAAGAATCTTAACAGTGATTGCTTTTCACATAATACAAAATGTTTTGCCTTCTGTTGCAAAAAAAATTTAGATGAGTTATTTTTGTGTTAAAGTAGTCTTCAGCTATTTAGCTAGTTAGAATAGTACATTAGGAAAAGAATAAATCATGTTGTTTTATTTGAAGGTGCCTAATGTTAGGACTGAGAAAAACTTGGGACTAGAGAAGAATAAGATTCACTTAAAGTCCTCAGATGTGTACACAATACACTACTATTCTTTAGGAATATGCTCCATTCTCTAAAATAGGTATCTTTTTGTTGTATAAATTGAGAACCATTAGGGACAAAATTTAGGTGAAAAATAATAGAGTTTAAGTGCTGCCCCCACACTCCTCAGTACCTTAAGTTTATGTTTTGTGGCATGATGTTTTTGACAAGTATTGAAATTTTCACTTTGAAAACAGGCTGACTTAAAATTGCGTATCAGCTTGAGAGCCCTAGATTGCAGTCTTGGAAGTATATGCCACTCAGTTTTACCTCCTTTGGATTTATTTTTACTCCAAATCAGCACAATTGCTCAGCGGTGTGGTTAAAGAATACAGTTCATTTGGCATTGTATTCAGAGCTACGTTATTCACTTGGGTAGACACTGCATGAATAGAAATGCAGAGTAAAAGTTCTCTTGTGTGCTTTGGTTTCTTTGTCTGTCTCGGCAGCATGAGAAAAGAAAAGAATAGGTAGATCTTTACCACGAGAGCACGTTGGAACTTTGCAGGAAACAGCCCAATCACTTACTGTATTTTGTTCTTGTTTTTCTACAGCTGTACAGGAAGAGGCACAGACAAAGAAAAGAAGCTCAGAGAGGGCGGCATATGATGTTCCTGCCATCATCACCCCACCCCATTCCCTTCTATCCCAACCCTTTGCACCCTCGGCCTTTCCCTCCGAGCTCTCTCCTTCCTCCTGGAATTATTGGTGGGGAATACGATCAGAGACTAACACTTCCCTATGTTGGGGACCCAATCAATTCACTCATCCCTGGGCCTGGGGAGACACCTAGTCAGTTCCCTCCCCTCAGACCACGTTTTGATCCAATTGGCCCACTTCCAGGACCTAACCCCATCTTGCCAGGGCGAGGTGGCCCCAATGACAGATTTCCCTTAAGACCGAGCAGGGGCCGGCCAACTGACAGCCGGCTGCCATTCATGTGATTGATTTGTAATCTCATTTCTGGAGTTTGTTTGGTTTTCTTTTTTGAAACTGCAGATATCATCTTGTTGGGGGTGCCGATCTCTTTTGATTGTGGTGGTAAGAAATGCACTCACAGAAGCCTTTCCGTAGATATAGCTAGAGCTCCAGGGGTGGTATGGCCCAAAGGCTGCTGCCTGACAAGGTCGGCCTTGGGAATAGTTGACAGTTTTTGACTTGCTTCTTCTGAATTCCTCTCTAGAATGAAGTTGTTCACTAATAATGTTCTGCACCAGAATAAAGAAAAAAAAAGTGTAATTTACATGGCAGTCTTTTATTACAGAAAGATATAATAAATACTCAGAACAACTTCATTACTTGAACATTTCAAAATGATCAAAGAATCTCAGTGTCATCAGATTGTTGCAGGGGATTATTTTTAAAGTTACTTTTTAGTGGCACCCTGTCTTCAAATGAAATTGTTCGCAGAAGCTTGGTTTATAAAATGAATAAAAGCAGAGCTAATTTGGTTGAACTGGGCCGGGGTTGGGTGCTGTGGCGCCCCCATCTGGATCTACCTTTCCTCTGCAGCTCTTTTCTCTGGCTTGGTGGTGAGACCTCTGAGCTTTAGAGCAGCCCTTCTGGATGACCATTGGGTGATACGGACTCTTGTTTCTGGCTGCTTCTGGAGTTAGGATTTTTTTCTTTTTCTTTTGGAACACTTGGTGCCTAATTTGTAATCTAAGTAGATGACATCTTTTAACAAGAAAAGTTCTGCTTTGCAAAGTGCCATTCAGGTACGTGTTCTTCAAAGATAGCCTCTTACTATTTGAACAACATTTTGCTTTTAAGACTTAAAAGATACATTTTTCTTACAAGAAAAAGGCCAAACACAAATATCTTATCATACAAACAACTACAGAAACATGCTATAGTGACATTAAAATCTGAATCACAAAAGAGGTAAAACAATTAGTATGTGCAGAAAATATTGAGGAATATTGCCAATGTCTTCTTGCTTTTTTTAAAGAAAATCTTATTTTGCATATAAGGAAATGGCTTGGGATGTTATATGCTGCGAGAATATTTTGAGTCCTGCGTAGATGTGAAAATATATATACATATATATTTTGCTACACATACAATTTTTTTCCCATCACAGTGAAGAAAATTCAGTCAATAAAAAGGTTTTGCAGAGGCCAAGTCACCTTTCATAGCCAATGTACAGGTAATGGATTGGGGCGGTTGACATTTCTTTCTGTGGTATTTTATAATTTGAGCTATAGGACAACTTTTTAAAGACAAGTGTCCACTGGAGCCACATGACTTGGGGCTGGGCTGCAAGAACCACCTTGAAGCTTTGAAGGGTCCAAATGTGTCCTAGCTCTTCGATACACCTCTTTGTGGCCATGTAATATAGGTCGCACTGTGTGGGGTGGGAGTGGGAGGACATGGTGATGACCAGAAGCACCAAATGCTACAAAGCAGTGAGTGAGCGTGCAGTGGTTTGAATGGACCTTGACCGGTGCGTGAAAGGTGCTGGTGTCCTGTGGAAACAGGTGCTGCTTTTCATACTCACGTTGGAGTGCCTCCCTTAGTTTAGGAGGTGGGCAGTGTGCCACACACCTAAATTTGCAGTCCTCTCACAAGTTTGTTCTGAATTCTTAGCCCTTGAACTTTTCTTCTTAAATAGCTAAACTTACAAGCTAGTGAAGTCCTACTTCTTTTCATGAGACTGAGACAGCTGAGCTTTATGTATAGCTGGTGTATTAGAAGAATTTGGCAGGAGCCTGTTCCTGCATGATTTTCAGACATCCATTTGATAACACTATAATGAAAGTAATCGAGTTTGGAAGGCGGTGGTAAGTGTTTTGGTAAGATCCAGCTCTTCGTTGGCTTGTAGCCTGAACGGTTTCCTGTGGCCTCTTATTTTCCCCTTTAATTTATAACTATAACAGAATCTTGCCCCCCACCTCCCTCGTCCCTACCCCTTCTCTGTTCATAACAAATCAGAAGGCATCTTCTCTTTCCAGTTTAGGGTTTTGTGATTGCTTATGTAAAAGCTGAACTGTTCTCTTTCGCCCTTGCTTGGCCCTCTCCAGCCCCTTGGGTCGTTGCTCGGCTGAGTGTCTGTGATGCTCAGCCTCGAGCTGGACTCCTTGCTTCGCCCCCTACTCAGGTCCAGCACCAAGGCCTGCCTTTCTCCTGCCCTGGGCGGTGGCTGCCAGATGTGGACTCGTTTCTCTTCTAGACTCAAACTACAGAGAGCAGATAGTTATCGTGAGAATTTGGAAATTAAAAGTGGGGGGCCAACTGGAATAAAAATGAGAGGTATTTAGGAATCTAAAGGATTAACACGTAGAAGGAATGCTTGATTTTAGACAGGTTTTCCCTCAGAGGAATGCCTAATTACAAGAAACACTTTCCAGCCATTTCCATCTATTTCAGCTGCATATTTTGCCTATGGAAACACAAGGGAGCCTGTGCCCTTTATGTTGTGTTTGGTTAATGGATGGATCTGACTTGCTTGTTGCCCAGCGTTTCAATTTGTGTCGAACCAAATGAAAAGTGCCGTCCTCTGTTAGAGTCTATTAGACCGAAACGCTGAATTCAGCCAGTAACTGCTTAGACGTCAAGGACAGCTCTTTGACACTTAGTATTATTAGTAACCAGCCAGCTTGCTCTGTAGGGTAAAGAACATGCGGTATGTGAGAAGTGCTCTTAGGCCATGAGCACGATAATCATAGGAAGTCACTGCTTGTATTTGCAAGGCAGACTTCATTCGTTTAAGCTGGGACTCTGATCTGCATCCTTTCGCCAATTCTAAATAGAAAACGAGCCGCTGCCTGTTGTAGGAAGGTGAATAAAGCCCACGTGCTCAGACTGCGGGGGTGATGGCTCAAGCCGGCGCCCTGCTGTCTGCCCAGCCCTGCTGCAGCCTGCCGTGCGGGGTGGGGTCACTGCTGTGCGAGCTTCAGTACGCTGCTGGCGCTCTCACCACAGCCCCCACCCCGACACTGACCGTGGACCCCATCCCTCTGCTCCTCGCCTAGGCAGCCCTACACCCATCACCGCCATGTGGGCCATGCTCACCCTCGGGAAGGTCACGTGGGCCCCTGCCTCTGCTTTCTTCTATTCCTTTTCAGCTCAGTGCAGAGCCTGAAATCTTCCTAAGGTTCAAAAGCAGCCATAGATTTATTTAGCTTTTTATCTCATCATCCTAATCTCTCTGTTGGTTTGATTCTGGGCAAGTGACTTCCTCACATTGGTACTCTCAGGAAAACAGACTTTTTATTCAGTCTTAACACTGTTGACATTTCATTAATTTCATAGTTTTCTAGGAAGGTCAACCTCAACACCTGCTATGTGCCAAGCAATTGACTCCGTGCTTTGCTGTCTGAGCTCATCCACGTGCTACCTGCACCGGGTCGCTTTCTCCTTGAACTCCTTACCTAGCAGGCTCAGATGAGGACTTGCAGGTGGCTGATGTTCAGGCTCATGAGGTTTGCTGTCATGTTTGCTGCCACGTGAGTGATGGCCCATCACCCCTGGAATTTTGGAAAGGTGTAACTACATGACCCATCTGCAGGGACAGAATGTTAGGAGAGAATGTAGTAATGATGAAAGGAGCACAGAGAATTAATGAGAACGGGTATGTGTAATCCACTGTCCCTGGAAAGATGATCTTTTATTTAATTATAGTGCCATTTTATCATGCTGAGATGACAGATCTGGAAGCAGTATTTTCTCTGGCTGGTGCAGGTGTCCACTGAGGCTGCATTTTTAAATCCCTATTTGTTGAGCTACACATTAGCACAGACAGGGTGGGTCTTTGTCATGTTCTAGCCTCACCAAGTCTGGAGGGAAATTTAGCCTTTCCTTGGGTCAAAGTTAGGAAACAAAGTGAAAAATGACAAACACAACCTATCAGAATCTCTACAGAGTGACTCCCCTCCTCTTTTTGTCCTTTACCATTTAAAAAATGCCACAATTATTAAATATTTGGAGGTTACATGTGCCAGCCTATTTGAGGAAACAGTCCACTTGGGGATCCATGGTCTCCACAAGACCCTTTTTGGTCTCCATATTCATGCATAGACCAACGGGAAATTTTATTTACATGTGTTGGTTACAAACTAGTGTTAGGCTATGGGTCATCTGTGCATGGTTACAAAAATCAGGGTTCCTGGCCAGAAAAAGGAGTCTGTGCTACTGTAGTTGGAATATCTGGAAGAAATGGGTTGAATGTTGGGGTGTTTTTAGGGACAAGGGACAGAATATAGGAATGTGAGAAAATTTAAGCCACATAGTCGTTTATGGGGCCACTAGCTTTGCTCACCGACGGAGTCCCTGGGTGTAATGTATCTCATGTAGTGACTTTCCCACATGGTGTGGCTCAGGGCTCGTGGTCCAGCTTTAATATGCATTCCAAGCATTTGGGAAGACTGACAGAGATACAGGGTCTGGGCCTTAGGACCAGAAATCCTGACTCGTTTGTTCTGGAATGGAGTTAGCTATGCACTAGCCGTGGACCACACTGAGCAACTTTGTCTAGCCCACCACCACCTTGTGTGTTTTAAGCTATATTTTATTACTAAATGAGTCACGCGAGAGTGTTTGACTTTGATTCTGATCGTAATCTCCGATGCAGAGGACTCATAATCTCCAATGCAGAAGACTCATGATGGCCTCAGGTATTTTCTGTGTTCTTTGCCTCCTGAAATGTGTTCCACTCAGCCCTACAAGCTTCCTCCCACATGTTTGTTCAGAATGTAGCTCCAGGCCAAGGACCTTAAACTTTTACCTTGCTCTCTCCTTCCCAGTGGACAGTGAGGGGAGGACACGTCTCAAGTTGCCAAATGGGCTGTAAGGGGGGGGGGGTAGCATGGCTATATTCTAATATCCTGGGCTCTTTTTGGGACCAGGAGGCTGGTTCTGGCCCCTGTAATGTTTCTAGCACCAGGGGGGAGGTGGTTTGGGACACCCCTGCACCTGATCTGATCATGGGAGGCAATCTGAGGTGGGGGAAAGAGTGCTGAGAGGGAATCAGGACTACACTGGACAGTGGTGCAGTTCACGTGCTGAGCCAAGTAAGTTTGGGTTAAACAGCTGATTTCTTAGCTTGGGTTAAAGTTGAATTTCTTGACTGCAGGACTTCGAAGAGCCTTTGACATGGAGTGTGTACTGCCTAATCTTAAAAAAGGAAGTATGAACAGTGTTTTTAAACACGTTTGACCATGAGACCCTTGTGTAGTTGAATAACCTACCAACTCCTCGCTGTATGCAGTTAGTGAAATGCCGACCTTGGAGTTACAATCATTGCACTTTCTGACCCTGTGTCATTGATCTACTGATTCTCTCTGGGCCTTCATGTATCCTTGAGGAGGAAACACCATTCCTGACGGGAATTCAGAGAGAATTCCTGATGGTGCAACACAGAATGGGTGGAGGAGGAGACCTAATCTCACTCGTTCTGGGGGAAGTGAGGGCCTCTTCCTCCTCTGGGAACCGGCGAGGATTCCCAGAGGAACCTGTGGTCTGTTCTTGGCTGTCCTATCTGGGCGTGAGCTGCATTTAAGGCTCCCCCCACCCCCCACCATTTCTGTTGAGTTCTGAAAGGCCTGCTTGACATATGGGGTCTGGTTTCTTTCTGTGGGCCTCAGGACTCCCACCATCGGCCAGGCATTGGGGGCTTTGCCTGCCTGGCCTGCGGGGCGGCCTCAAGCCTGAATGGAACTACACGGGTAAGGTTCCCCTTGCTGGGCTTTTCTCCTTTTGTTTGCAAAAAGATCATTGCCTCCAGTATTGCTGAGGTCTGACTACAGCCCCTGCATTTGAGAGATGGGGCAAGTTCTAGGGGGACCTTTGCCCACAGGCAAGCAAAACCTTACAAGAAGAAATGTGAGAACTAGCTGCTCGCAGACATCTCCCTTGGTCATCTGGGGTGCGGAAGCAAGCATCTGGGTGGGCAGGGCGATGCGATGCCTGTGGGTAAGGCCCATCTGGAGGATGCTGGAGGCGCTCCGAGGCCCACCACTTGGATGTTGCAGATGGTCAGAGTAAAGGAGGGGGGAACATACACAGATAGTCAGTTCCTGGGCCAAAGGCATTTAGAAAGTACATTATCAGGCCGTCCTTTCTGGTCCCTTTAGGAACTGAGGCTGAGAAGGAAGATGAGGCAGCAGAAGGGAGAGTTCACAGCACCCCCCGTGCAGCCGGGGACAGCGCTAGTCAGAGAACAGGCTGGCAAAAGACTTCCTCAGGTTGCGGATGGTTTCGGCCTTGGCCTCGTCTTCACTTGGGGTCCCGCGCTGGGAGGTGTCAGATGTGCTGAGGCTGTTGGTCAGGGACTGGGATTTGCTGAAACAGAAAGGCGAGGGGGTTGGGGGCAGCAGGGCCTGGACTGCGGAGGGAGGGAGTTGCAGGGGCTTGCCTGGAAGCCAGCCGGGCGGGCCGGTCCTCACAAGGGTCAAGCCCAGGAAGCAGGCCTTCTAGCCCCTCCATGCTGCTGGGGCATCACACACATTCTGTAACCTGCAAAAAGGTATCCGCCTTTCTTAGGGTCAGAAATTGGGGCTCACAGCAACAGGGTCCACAGCTCACATTCTTTCCACTAGCCCAGGCTGCCCACACGGCAGGCGTTACTTGGGAGCAACCCGACCACCCCTTCCGCCCGTGTGTACTAACCCACTTCGTAAACTGTGAGGTGCTGTCTCAATATCAGGTCATGGTTGCTCCTCCTATACTTTCCAGCACTAGTTGCGGAATCAGGAGGCCTGTGTTCCAACCCTGCTCTGCCATCTGACCCCTCTGGCAAGCCACACTGCTGAGGGCCTCCTCTACGTCACCGTGAAAGGGGGGTCGGCCCAGCGCACCCTCAGGCCTCTTCTAGCTCTGTCACTCTGGCTTCAAGTCTCACCTCTTTCCTGAAGGCTTTGGTGCTGATTGCAGCCTATTTTGAACTTCTGAGGGGGCCTACTGTTTGAACTGCAGTGTTTGAACCTTTGTGCCAGCCTAGCGAGAGGGGACAGGGCTGTAGAGATGAATGCGATTCAGGCCCTGCCCTCAAGAGGTTCACAGTCTAGTGGAGGTGACAGACACAGGAAGAGATGATATAAACTGGTCACAAGTTTAAGAGATCCACACACGTTCTTGTCATCACTATAAAAAATTGAAATCCTTTTCAAAGCAGGGACTGTCTTTTACCCCTTGCTTATTCCATGTGAGGCCTTATCCAGGACTGGGCACAGAGCGGGTATTTAGTAAGTCCTGCTGACTTGAACCAAATAATACTTCAGAGCCACAGACCAGGAGATTAAAGTGTGTCTAGCTAGATTACCAAAATGGTGGTGTCCAAACCTGGCATAAGTCCCAAAGCCCTCACCTGTCCTGTAGTTAGCCGGGCTGCGTCTTCTCGCCTGGTGAGAGTCTGTCACAGATAGCACTTGTATAAAGCCAGCAGTGTTCTAAGCGCTAGTTGTGCAGAAACTAATTTTAACCTTTGTAATAATCCTGTGGGGTAAGTACCAATTTCCCAATTTTCATGTGAGGAAGGAGAAACATAGAGGTTAAGTAACTTTTCTGGGGCATGCAGCTTTTAAGTGATAGAGCTGGCATTTGCACCCAGACAGTCTGACTCAGAATCTGTGCTGTCAGTCACTCTGCCTTATTGCCTGGAGGGCGTCTTGCTCATAGCTATCAAACTAAAAATGCATTTATCCTTTGATCCAACAATACCATTTCATGCATTTTCTCTACAGCTGATCCTGCACACATAAAAATAGCATGTGTTTAAGGTTATTCATCACAGCCTTCTTTGTAAGAGCAAACCATATTTCCCTGTATAGTGGGTTAATTAGACAAATCATGGTACAGCTATACTGGGGAATACTATACAGCTGTGAAAAGGGAGCACGTCAGTGAACTGAGTAGAAGAGCTCCAGGACTTCTTAAATGTAAAAGCAAGGAGCAGTATGGGGAGGATAGTGATTACTACCATTTGTGTAAAAAAATAGGGGGGAGGGAATCAACATATATTTTTATATTTGCATAAGGCAACACTAGGGGGACATGTAAGGAACTCACAGAATTGGTCACCTCTGGAGAGCAGGAGGCAAGAAAGCATCGGATGGGAATGAAGTGGGGGTGAAGTTTTTCAATACATACTTTTGATATTATTGACATCTTTTAGATCTTTGAACCATGTGAATATATTAATTTTAAAAAATTACAGGGTAGCATGATCTATGGAGTGGATGTCCTGTGTCTGTTGCTAGCTCTTTTACTTACTCTTACTTAATGGTGGAAACTGGCAAATTATTGATTTCTTTCTCTCAACTGTTTACTCATCTGTAAAATGGGGATGATAATAGTTATAAACTCTTAAGCTTGTGAAAATTAAGAAAAGGGCCAACTATGTAAAATGCTTGGCACAGAGTAGATGATAGGCCTAGCAGTGAAATGAGGATGAGGCCCATGGAGAGAGAGAGGCCTAGCTGAGAGCCGACACCGACCGACCGGGGGGTGGTGTGGGGGGTGGTGTGGGGGGTGGTGTGTGTGTGTGTGTGTGTCCCTCTTAGACATTCCAGCCCCAGAGGCTGCCAGATGACTGCAGCCATGTGAATGGTCCTAGGAGGGTAGGGTTGCTAGATTTAGTAAACAGAAATAGAGGACACCCAGTTAAATCTGAATTTTAGATGAAAAACATACATGTTTTTAGTGTAAGTATATCCCATGCAGTATTTGAGGTTATACTTACACTCACGGTTTTCATTATTTATCTGAAATTCAAATGTAACTAGGCTTCCTATATTTTATCTGCCAACCCTACAGAGGAGACCACCAGAGGAACCACCTACCTGAGCCACAATCGTTGAACAAAGGAAATAGTTGTTTTCTGAAGCCACTAACTTTCAGGACGGTTTGTTAGGCGGCAAGAGATAACAGATGCATCTACACGTGGAGGATCATGGTGGGGCCAGATCTATACTCTCACCTTGCTGGGCCCTGCCCGCCATCTGAGTCCCCCCCCTTAGGCCTCCTCCTACCCACTTAGGTCTGTGTGAGGCCTCTGTGAGCTTTTGTCCCTGCGCGCTGGACCCTGAGGCAGCTCAGCTCTCCCGCACCCCAGCCCACCCTCTTCCTTCCCAAACCAAAGCACTTACTTGAGATGGGGGTGGGGCAGTGCTGGCTTCGACTCTTCGCCCTGCTGGGAGGGGCTGCGGCCTTGAGTGGGGGGCCGGGGCTGCGAGGTGAGGGGGGAGCCTGGCTTGCAGGCCTGGTTTGGAGCACCGCCACTGGATGCCCGGGACAGCTGTGGAGATGGGGGGCTCAGGGGCTGCTGGCCTTGTGGGGAGAGCCTCTGTTGGCAGGGGCTCCCAGATCTTGAGGGCTGAGGAGACTGCGCTTGGCGAGGTCCCCCTACAGGGCAAAGCAATTACTACATTCAGATTTTTCTTAGGCTGAATACGGCTGTGCACAGATGTTGCTTCAAAGATGCTCATTTACAGTGAAAAACTGAAAACAATATAAATGCCTAACCATAGGGAAACTGATTAGTGATATTAAGAGGCATCTATGTGAAGGAATATGCTGTGGTCATCATGTACAATGTGGCAGAATAATATGTAACCTGGGATATTATTAATATATGCTAAGTATATACTGCTAAACAAAAAAGCAGTTTATAAACCACTACATACACTTTTATTCCATTCTGACACATATAAAGCTATGTAAAAAAGACTAGAAGGTTACGCTAAAACCAGTGTGTCTCAAACTTTCATGTGCATATGAATCACTGGCGGATCTTATCAAAATAAAGATTCCAATACAGTGAGGTGCATGGCGGCGTCATGGGGTGAACTGTGCACCCCCACTGCCTCGCACCCTGCACCCACCTCCAGCTCACGTTTTGAAGTCCAAACCCACAGTGTGTGTTTGGAGATAGGGCCTTCAAGGAGGCATTGTGAAATGATGTCACAGGGGTGGGGCCCTGACCCAACAGGACTGGTGTCTTTGCAGGAAGAGATAGAGACTGCAGGGGCGCCCACACGGAGCAAGGCCACACGAAGACAGTGAGAAGGTGCTGTCTGCAAGCCATGGGGAGAAGTTTCAGCCTGCCTGGCACCTTGATCTTGGATTTTCAGCCTCCAGAACGGTGGAAATAAATGTTTGCGGGTTGAAGCCACTCAGTCTGTGACATTTTGTCATGGCGGCCAGAGCTGCCTAGGACGGATGGGTCTGTCATTCTGCATTTCTAACGAGCTCCCCAGTGACGGGCTTCCCCTTACCATGCTTGTAGCCACGAGGCACTGAGCAAAGTTTCCAAAAGGGATTTTAATTCCCGTCCTTTTGCTCACTGATGCTTTCCACGCTGAAAGCATGTTACTTTGGAAACAATGAACCATCCCTTACTTTACAATAGCTCTCTGAAGTTTTCTAAGACTTTCAAAAGCACTGTACCATTTGCTCTAGAGAAAGGGTGGTAGGGAAGATGCCATTGTTTCCATCATATAGAGGTGGAAACTGAGCCTTATGAAGGTTTCAAGACTTGAAGGGCTAGCCACAGAAGCCCCTCGCAGACCCTGGCTTCTCCCTGTCTCGTGCAGAGCACAGAGGCGTCACCTTCAAGCAAAGGAGCATCACAAGCTTGGGGACATGTTAGCCACCCAGAAATGACTTTGAGTGGAATTCCAAGGCCCCAGGCAAGTAAGGTGCCCTCTCCTCACCCTTGAATCCTGAGGGTCAGGGCTCTGAGGTGACTGTGTTCTGCCAAAGCAGACCGGCTGCCGAGGGCACGCCTGCTCCTGGGAGAGTGGGTGCCCCAGTTACTCTCACCAGGCTTTTCCAACACCACTTTCCATAGATTGGAGACTGAGAGTAAAGGGGCCAGGGCCCGTCTCTGAGCCCCTTCACAGTGTGGCTTCCACTCCCTTGAGCTCCCGAGTCTCTCCAAGCACCTGCTAGATCCCTAGCCTTGGGCTGGGCACCCCCACAACAGCTCTCTGGATTCTGCACTATTATTCCCAATTTTACAAAGAAACTGAGTCCCATACATACTGTGACCTGCTCAAGGTGTTACTTCTAATAAAGAGCCAAGATTTGAACCTGGATCTCTGACTCAAAAGCCCTGTTTTCTTTTTTCTTTCTTCTTCTTTTTTTAAAACTATACCACACAGGGCTGCCCAGAATCCTCATTGTGCAAATTAAGAAAAGGTGCTTTCCTCCAGTGCGGGCAGCTCTGAGCCAGTTGCAAGGGGAGCTAGCACCAGATTTCAGCTGTCCTCCTGCTCAGATGCCATCTCAGCTGGGCACATTTGCCAAGGGCACGGCCTGCATTTCTGGTGGCCCTGACACCACACTGGCACCAGGAGTCCCAGGTCTTGACTCAGGCCTTGTCATTAACTTGCCCTGCAACTGTGGGTAAGTCACCTCTCTCTGGCTTCTGGGTCATTGTTTGTAAACTGAGGTCACTGGACTAGCCATCAGACATCCCGCTCAGTTTTAACATTTCTGGGAGCTTGTGCAGCACTTTCTAAGTTGGATTGAACTGCAGATGATTGCACATGGCTTTGATTCATTCTTGACCTCTTTCATGACTGTGTCCCAGTAGACTGGAGGGCCCATTGATCTCAAACTCACACACCTAGAGAGCCAAGCAGGTGCATAAATAAATAAAGCAGGTGCATGTCAGAAAAATCACATGGCTTTACAATTTTTCCTACTTGAGATAAAAACGTAGTTCAGAGACCAGTTTCTCTCTAAAGAGGTGCAAGCATAAAGAAAACAGCAACTGACACCGTGACACTGTGAAAGTGACAATAGGCAGGAGTAGGGCTTGAGGCAAATGGAGAAGCCCTTGACCTGTCCCAAGGAGCAGCTGTTACTAAGTATCAGCGTATACTTGCCATGCAGGAGAGCAGGCCCACTGTTTCTAGAGCTCCTGCTCTATCAAAAGAAGCTGGGAATCTAGATTTTTATGGAAAAGCTCCTGATTTTTAAATGTTGGCTCATTTTTTGCTTTTTAAACCCACTGCAGGTCAAAGAAAACATGTTTTCTACTTTTACTTTTATCTTAAGTGCCCCCTCCCCAGGCCAATAATATCTTGGAAAATCTGGATACTCATTCATTTATAACTATATGTTGAGTCCTTATTACACACCTGAGATACATTTAAATACACTAGTTATTTCTTTCAGCTTCTTGGTAAACCAAATCACATAGTATTTTTTATTTGAGCATGTACCCAAAACATTAACTTACATGTACAAAATATTTGCCTCAGTACAGGATTGGTGCTAAACATGATGAGGCTCATTAAAAGGAAAACTTCACTTTTACTCAGTTGAAAATGAACGGTGAGTTCAAAAACAAGTTAATGTGATCTTGTTATTTTGGGAACTCAATGAAAGCATTGTGTTTTGATTAGCCTTGTTATTTTTAATCTGAATGTTAATTCAATGAGCATTTTCTTTAATTATCTTAATTGGTTTTCAATGGATTGTTTTTCAACTCACTCAAAGTGTGTTTAGCCTCATGTCCCTTAAAATAATATCTCTTTATCAAGCAGGTCTCTACTCTGAGCCAGAGAGGAAAGCGGAATACAGTAGCTCTCTGTTTTAGAAGCACTCTGTTCAAATGTGCTTTAACAAGTGAGTCCTAGGGCAGAGTGGGAAAGAAGAGGGAAGGGCGGAGGCACAGCCACGAGGGTGGCAGGGTGATGGATCAGTAGTTTTTGAACATTTATAACCATAGAATTATGGCCGAAGGGTAGAAGGGGTGTATTAGTTACAATAATTATTAATAAATGATACTCATTAAGAACAACATGTAACTGTAGATACAAGTTATTAATGGTAAGCTTAGAATAGTAAAAGTGATTATAGTTACAAATAGTAAACTGTTGGCAGTAAGAGCCGTTATCTACTAAGCACCAGCTCGGTGCCAGACACTTTTACCTGCATTACATCATGGCCAGCTCCCCATAACTAAACAGGGCAGCTGTTAGCTCCTCCTTTATCACTGGGGAAACTGAGGCTCAGAAAAGTGACATAACGTGCCTAAGACTGCAAAGGCACCAGGACATGGAGGCAGATTCAAATGTGTTTTATCTGCCTGAGGAAGAATCCCAGTATATGTTGGGCAATTTCCCTTTTCTTAAATGCTTTCTGCCTTTCCAAGAAGAGAAGCACAGACAAGAAAAGTGAATGGGGCATTTATCTAAGACCTGTGGGAGAGGGAGCCAGGCAGTGCCAAAGGCCGATTTCCCCCCAGACAGTGACTCCGTTACCTCACTAAAAGCCACTGGGAAGCCCACAACACATTTTGCAATGCTTTCTTTCTGACGGGTTTTTAAGCAGATGCTTAAGAGATTGCTGTGACACTGCCTGGCCTGGCTTCTTGATGCAAAGCTGTTCTGAAGCTCCAAGGGGCCCCGGGGCAGGGAATGTGCCTGGAAGGTTTCTGACTGCCAGAGAGGTGGTCGCGGATTTTCTCCCCAGGCCTGTGCGTGAGAACACCTGAGCAGCTGCCGTGCCGTGAGGAAGGTGGTTATTCCCACCATTTCTTTACATCTCATCCGCAGAAGCTTATCCATTCTTTAATAAATGGTGGCACTGACGCAGTGATGCTGGAATAGTTTTTGAGGAGGAATTTCAATCAACAAGGTTAATGTTGCATTTCTGTCTCTCTCACTGTAGCTGGTTGGCTCATAAATCTATAATAGGTACCACTGGAGGCTAGGAAACAGACACTTTTTAGAAGATCAGAAAGGCCAGACCCGCCATTCTCTTGTGCTTTCGTGGGCAAAGCCTCAGCGTCCACCTCCATAAAATGGAAATACTGCTGGACGGCAAAGTGGCTGGGAACTGAAAATAAGAACATAGATGGGAAGGTTCCTAGCACGGTGCCTGGCACATGCTAGGTACTCAGTCAACTCCCCATCTTCCCTTCCTCCTTTCCTGCCCTTATGGAGGTGACATCTCACAGTCTCAAGCATTCTGCAGGTAGAATACATTCTGCAAGGGCATGTATTCCAAGGATACAGCCTTAATAAGGATCTTCCCAGAGAGCCTTTTGGAAATCACACCTGGACCCCTCAGTGCCTTTCAGCATCCCCACTGGATGTTTCTCCGGTGACTGGTGGCGGGGTCGGCGGGGGATGGGGGGGGGGTCCTACCTTGTGTGGGTGGGCGTGGCTGTGGCTGTCCAGGTGGAGGCCCCAGCTGGGTGGGCCCCGGGGATTTCGCTGGTTTCATCTGCGGAGCCTGGTGCAGGAGAGAAAAGAAGCCTGTTGTGATCACCACAGCCATTTGCTGCCTGGGTGGGAGGGCAGGATTTTTAAAGATCTTTGTATTATTGTGGTAAAACTTATGTAAAGTGCACAGTTCACAGCATAATGAATTTTTACACATTTACACATCTGTGCAATCACCATTCAGATCAGGACAGAACATTCCAGTGGAGAGGGCTGCCCCATGCCCCTTCCCAGCCAGTGGTCCCCTAAAGTATACCCATCTTTCTGAGGTCTGTTATCATAGACTGCTTCTTATGGGGAGGGTGGGGCGCAGGTTTTGAGACTTGTTTTTCCAGAAAGCTGGGGAGCTAACAAATTCTTTGGAGAATCATCTGGTAATCCGTGGTGAGGCCTGTGGAAGGGAGGAGCTATGTGGGGGCTTGCTGAGGTGGGGGGATGGGGATGGGAAGACACAATAGTCTCCATTGACTGGTGCCCTGGGATCACACAGAGGGCGTGTGTGTACACATGCGCGTGCATGCACACACAACCACACACACACACACACACACACACACACCCTGCTCCCTGCTCAGGCCAGGATGGAGGGCACGGAGGGGACAACCGGCTTCTTATGTTAATAATTTCTGCCCACAGATGCCCAAAACCCAGTTGAGACATTTTCTTTCCAGGACAGTGGAAGGAGGAAAGGCCCCTCAGAGCCTCCCAGCCTCCCCCATCAAGAGCAGGGGTACATGCCCTCCCCCATGCCCAGCGTCCATCCATACCCCATTCCTTTCTCCCCACGTGGCTCCTTCCTAGGGCTATCTCCTTTGGTCTGCCCATGCCCAGACAGCCTGGCATTTCTCATGGCTACAAAGTCCCCTTGGCTTCTAAGGACATTACCCAAGGCCTCAGGGGTGAGGGCACTGTCCCCCCTGGCAGCAGGAGTTGGCTCATTTTGGAGACTACGAGGTCGGCCATCAGCTGTTTGTCCTCTTCCACGTGCTCTCCAATCAAGGGCATTGAGCTGTCCATCACCTGAAGGAAAGAAGTGGGGAGGCCTGAGGGACCCCCATGCTAGGGTGGCCCAGCATCTGGGCGGGGAGCCCCAGGACGGCGGGCTCAGGGCTCAGGACAGAAGCGACCACTAGATGGCGATGCTGTCCACGCAAACACCCAGCCCAGTGCTCCAGCTGGGAACAGTCCCGGTGGAGACATGCAGTTCCCCCCAGTTCAATCACTCCCTGGATTCAGTGCCATTCAGCCTACATTTGCTGGAGTACAGAAACGCAACCGAGGCCCAGGGAGCCGTTGCTGACCTTTTCTGCTCTTTTCTTTGGGGAGCTGGTCTCCACCCCCTCCTTTCCCACCTTGGCTCCTGCCCAGGATTGGGGCTGACCTCCTGAACTTTGGTCCAGGGGCAAAGCTTTCCACAAAGCCGGAAGCAGTGAGGGTGGGGGCTCCATCATGACGAAATTAAAAAAAAGCCATGGGTTCAGAGAGAAGAGGGAAGAGGAAGGGCCCTTTCCCCAGGGCTCTGCAGGACATACGCCTGGAGTGAAATGCGTTCCCCTGTGGCAGCGAGGGCTGCTTCTCAAAGGGGCAAAGTTACACTGGCAGAGGGCCTGACAGAGAGTTGCCCATCCTGCTCTTTTTTGCAGATGGGGCCCAGAGATGGGAAGGGATTGCCCAGAGTCAGGCCAGCGGTCCAGGTGATTCCCCGGGCATGGGGGTGCGAGGCCTGGGTGGGCCCTCTCTCTCCTTCCTGGCAGGAATCCAGCCTCTTCACCCCGCCGCACCCCCAGCAAGCCTGCGGGCTTGTTTCCCTCTTTCCAAGGTTCTCTCTCCATACTCAGGCCACTCCCTCTGCTCACTGGTCACCTACCGCCTCATCCTTCCAGGAACACCGAGCTAGCCTCCCTCTGGGAAGCCCTCTGACTGAGCAAGCTCTGGCGGGTCACCACTCACCTGTATTCCCCTGTCCTTGCTTTCCTGTCCACCGGACAGCTTACCCCTCAGTGCTGTCACCTCCTGTTTACTGTGTCTCCCCGGCCAGACTGTGGGCCTCCGCAGGCGGGGTTGGGCCCTGCGTCCTGGCAGGTAGTTCTGCCCTCATAGCTACTGTGTGGAGGGATGGGAGGTCCTCGGTCCTTGTGTAAGTCCTGCTCATAATGGTCGGGGACTATGAAGTGCCAGGTTTATAACTGAGTATTCTGTCTGTCCCAAGCACTATTCTAAGCACGGGGTGTGGGTGACTCCACAAAGCTCGTGAAGAGATCTTTCAGACAGGTACTATTACCATCCTCATCACAATTATAAGGAAACTGGGGGTCCCAGAAGTAAGCAAGTTCAAGGATGTAGCTAGCAAGCCATGGGCCTTTCCTTTCTCCCCAAGCACTGGAGCAGCTCTCTGTGGTACGCTCTGGGAACAGGAAACCGGGGTGTGCTGTGGACTTGCTGTGGGACCACAGGCAGGTCACTTTCCCTCTGTGGCTCCGCTGTTTTCCTCAAGCGTAAACTGAGGGGTTTGGGCAGCTGTGAAGACCCTGCTGGCTGGGACTTTTAGGGGTCCTGCCATGATTGGGAAGCTGAAGAGCAGACTCAAGGATGGGAATGCTGATTTTAGCACTGGTCCTGAAAACTGTCCTCAAACTGAGCTCCTCGTGGTGTGGGCCTGGAGCCTGGGCACCCTGGATCCCAGTGCCTGGCACGTGGACAGTCTGTGTGTCAATGCGGGCTGAGCTGAGTAATAAACACGGAGTCTGTCTACATGCACACAGCCTGTCCTTTCTGCCCCTGCCCATCCCATTCTGCTCTGGTTTCTGTTTCCTATGTTCCCTGCAGTGGGAAATGGCCACCACAAGGAGCCTGAGGTCAGAGCATTCTGCAGTCCCCATGGTGGATATTCTGGTCTCCCCAGGGAAACATTTTTTCCAGCGAGCAATGTCATCCCCTGGACAGGTCATGCAGGACAACTTCAAGGGTCCTCCCCCTAAATATTTTGCTGTAAGGATCTTCACAAAACATGTCACACAAATTTTCTGTTCTCACCATAGAGGTGGCTGAAAAAAACACTATTTCTGGATTGCTTCTGCTTTTTTTTTCCTAACTAGGGAAAAAAATGCCTTTTATCTTCCTGGTAGCAAGCTCCCTATCTCCCTTGACCCTGCTGTAAACCCAAAAGCAAGGGAAACAATTTCACAATGTTTCTGAGAGAAAAAAAAAAAAAAAACAATCTGAAAAGCCATCTTACTTTCTTTTTTTTTTTCTGGAACATTTTTGAGAAGTTATATTCTTGTTTTTTAAAGTTCAAACCCACTAATCGGGCTTAAAAAAAAAAATGTGAAAGGTCTTTCATCCCTGACCCACTGGATGTCTGGAAGCAGGAAGCCTGGGCCCACGGGAACAGATTTGTGTTTCCTAAGAGGGAAAGTTGTGGAACCTCAGAAAGACAGGAGCTTTGGGGGACAAAGACCATGCTAATACAGGGGGAAGGGGTACCTCACAGTGGGGAGGAGAGGGGAACCCAGGAGAGTGTCTGCTGATGGCCAGTTACCTCTCCGGGAGGAAGTTCAGGAGGCAGGGTCCCCGCTACCATGTTCACTGCTTATCCCATCACCTGGCTCAGGACCTGTGCCCAGCGCAGGGTCTCAGCAGTGAAGGAATGAATGACTGCTTGTGTCCTAAAGCTGAGCTCACGTCTGTAGGCCCAGCAAGGAGAGGCAGAGGCAGCAGGGCCGTAGGCATGGGGCCGCCCCTGGCCTGCAGCTCCGGGCGTCCTCGGGAAGGTGGGGGCCTGTTCCTGCGGGGAGCTGCCTGCCTCTGACTCAGATGCAAGCGTGCAGACCCGAAGTTCTGCTCTTCTGAGAAGGGGCCAGTGGGGGAATGCTGTTATGGCAGCCAGAGGGAACACGGCTCCTGGACTGGAGGGGAGAGCTGTTTTCTGGAGCAGAACTGAACCCACAAATATAGATACGACTCCTCTGTGGGAGCTTCCTGGCCTTCCCTGGGAGGGTTGAGGGACTGTGTCCATCCTGACTTGCTCCCCTTCACATCCAGGAGCCGCTGCTCCCTGGCTGTTGATGTGGCTGGCCTCCTGGCATGGCTGGTGGGGCTGGTGGAGAAGAGCACGGCTCCCCCCCCACCGGGTCACCTGGTCCTGCCGCACTGTGGTCCTGGGAGGGGTCCAGATGTGCTGGTCGCCGCAGCCATGTGCTTCTCATTAGCCGCCCATTCCCCGCGGAGGGGGCCGCTGCAGGGTTTCCTCACATGCCCTGGCCTTGTGGCAGCACCGCCCCCTGCTGTGGTGTGAGGAGAAGGCCAGGGAAGGGGAGCCCTGGGAGGCTGGGGAGTGGGAGGGCAAGCTGTGAAGGTGGCGAGGGGGGCACTCTGGAGCCCGGGGGTATCTTCAGGGGAAGGCAGAGATGTGCGGGGTTTGGGGGAGCGGGGCAGAGAGCAGGACTGTGGGACCTGGGGGGACACAGGCATCACGGAGGGGCAAGGGGTTGTGGGGGTGGGAGGAGCATGGAGAGGAAGCTAGTGGGTGGGGGAAAGGAAGGTGTGGGGCTGCAGAGACATGTAGGTGACAGTCCTGGAGGATGGCAGGAGGTGTGGGCCTGGGGGAGGCACAGATGCAGGAGGGTGTGGGAGGTTCTCGGGCTGCCACCACCCCTCTCCAGCCCCTCTTACAGTCACATTTCCCTACGTCACTCGCGTCGGCCACACCCCACAGCTGTATCCCCTCTCCCAGTTCAGTGCCCTGCCGTTACTTGCTTAGCCTCCGTCTCCCCCTCCAGACTACACACCCATGTGTCTTGCTCACGGCTGTGCTGCAGGGCTGCATGCATGCCTCGCCCACAGAAGCCTCCACGAACCCGTTTGTTGAGAGCAGATGCAGGGATCTCTGCATGGTGACTAGGGAAGTGTGCGCTCCTTATACAGACAGACTGAGGAAATTTAAGAGGCCCAACGGGACAGAATCTTGCTGACGCTTGGCCTGATGTTCTTCACCTACCTTTAGGGTTGTGGGTTGGGGAAAGCTGTCAAGCCTCATGACAGGAACTCTCGAGGCCCAGCTCTGAGGCCCTGGTCATGAAGGTTTTAGCTGCAGCTGGGGGCAGCGGTAGGGAGGTGCATGCAGGCTGTGGGTGAAAACCTCTGGGAGCCACTGGCTGAGGCCTGGGCTGCATGTGCCCAGGCTGTGGGCTAGGCCGCCGCTGGCCAGGCTGGAGACCACACCCCCTGGCACACCTGCCTGGGCAGGACCAGGCCAGGAGGAATTCCCGCTTCGTCCCTCACCTCAATGATGTAATCTCTGCCATCCTTGCTGTGAACAGCCTTGACGGCACAGACGTCCAGGCCGCCAAACATTTCTGAACAGCTGTCCACCCACAGCCTATACCTGCGGGGATGGACAGACAGACAGTGAGTATCACTGGAGATAGCAGGGCGGGGGGTCAGACACACCGCCGGAGATACAGAAAAACAAACGGAAAAACAGGCTGTGGGGCCGACTGTGAAGCCCAGGCACTCTATCAGAGATGGAGAGAGATAGTAAGAAATAACAAGAGACCGAGAAGCAGCAAGAGAGACAGAGAAGCTGAAAGAGACAGAGACCACAGAGAGGCAGAAGGAGAGACAGAATGGGTAAAAAAAAAAAAAATGCAGAGACGTGATGGGCAGTGAGAGAGAGGAGGCAGAGAGAGGGAGAGAGAACAGAGGGAGGGCCTGGGGAGCAGGGGTGAGTTGGGAGAGATCTCAGACCCGGCCCCCTTCCCCACCCCCACCCCGAGGGCCTTGCTGGCTTCACAGTAGTGGGGAGCTTGCCCTGCCCAGTCTGGAGCCATCTGGGGCACCCCTGCATCCTTTTCCCTTGGGAAAGTTGTTTGAAGGGCTCCAGAAAGCCCTCCCAGGCCCAGCCTCCAGGCTCAATGAGGGCGTGTGGGGGACAAAGGGCCCATTCTCCCCTGAGCCTCGGGTGGGCAGGCCGGGGAGCCTTGCTGGCCGCTCCTGCAGGGCCGGGGTCCTGGCCCTCCACACCCGCTGGTTTTGTTCCCTTTCCAGCCACTTGAGGGCTGCAAGGCCAGTTTGCTTTGCAGGGGAGAGAGAGAGAGAGAGAGAGTTCAGTGCTGGACTTTGACCCTGCAACAAGGAGCTGGCTGTATCTGCAGACATCTTCCTGGGCTTGCACTCAGTTTCCCTTGTGGTGGCCAGATTTGGGAGTCACAGGGGACTTTGTATCAATGTTCTTGCTTCTCTCCCCACTCTCCGAGTCACAGGGGCATGTCTGCTTTGAGATCTATTTGTGTCTCTGAGCCATGAGGCCTGGAATGAGGAGACATCATGGCTGAAGTGCTCTTAGAACCAACTCTCTCATCTTATCCACCAATGCCCACTGGGGCCCAGAGAGGGAGAGTGGCTTGGCTAGGTCACACAGCAAGACAGTCACAGAGTCAGGATTACCCAGATAGCTGGGTTCCTAGTTCAGTTCTTCCATTCAGCTGTAGCTAGAAGTTTCAATGAAATCATTTACACAAAGGGAATGATGAAAACTCATGCCTGCTATGCTCCTAACATGTGCCAGGCATTTGGGGGTTCTCATTCTTTCTGACCTCTACAACAGCTCTGCTAGGAAGGTTGGACCCATTGTACCAATGAAGAGACTGAGGCTCTGAGAGGTTAACAAGTGACTGTGCTGGCTTCCAGACCTGGACACTGTCTGACTCCACAGTCCAAGCAGGTCACCCTTCTGCTCAGTCTGAACGCATCACAGCCTGTGAGGGAGACCTCAGCACAGGAGACCAGTGACCTGAGCTGGCTACCAATCTCCTCAGTAATTGTGGGTGAGCTGCTCCCTCTTGCAGCCTCAGTTTCCTTATCTGGAAAATGGGAACGCCTTGGTGTGATTCTGGTCGTGAATCCGAAGCACCAGGAGAGGTAAGCAAATGAACACACAAATACATGGCCAGATCTTAGGGGGCCTGCTGTATGTTAGAACAGTTTCTCTAAGTTGTTAAAGCTACCCATGCGATTCTTCTGTGCAGCCACATTTGGGGACAATGTTTGTCCTTGGAGCTCTAAGAACCCCCTGGGCTCTCGGATCAGGGTCCCTGTGTGTGGCAGCAATGGCTGACTGATGGGGCACCTCCAGCTAAGGGAGGCCTGTGCCCTGAGATACCCTCGTAAGTTGGGTTCTTCTTGATGGAAGACGGAAGTCTGGACGTAGGCCCAGAGGCAGCTGATTTCTAGAGGCTGTATGTAAATGGTGAACTTCCTGGTCACCTACAGGCTGTCTCTCATGGGGCACAGGCCCTTCCCTCCCTGCCCCCTGCCCCGGGAAGGGACTTCATGGGTGGAGCAGTGAGAGAAAGACTAGGGGGCACAGAGTCCATGCTCCCCTCTGGCCAGGCGGACTGCACTGACAGAGCCCCCCCATCGGCTTTGCCCAGGAGTCAGGCTATCTTCCAGGCAGGTGAGCCACCAGGAGGGACCAGGGCCCGTTCGTGGATTTTCCCCTGTGGAGACTGACCTGGGAGCTCTGTCCCAGGCCTGCGGGGCCTGCCCATGCCTTTGCAGAGGGAACGTGAGTTCCAGGCTCCGGCAGACCCACTCGCACAGCAGGCTCTTGCAGCGCTGGCCCAGGTGGCCTGGAACTGAGCAGGGCCGGGGGCATGGCGGCCTACTGGGGACCTCTGTGAGCAGGCTGGGGAGGGCTGGGTGCACACTCTAGAAGGGCCATGGGAGAATGAGTGCCCATGAATGCCCACTGGGGGAAGGAGGGGGCTACCCCAGGCTGGATGATTCAGTGGAGCAAGGTTATGAGCACACCCACCCGAGACTAGGTAGCATAGGCGGATTCCCAAAATGAAGACAGCAGCTGCCACCTGGGGCTGATGGGGAGGGAAAGAAGGCAATTTACAGTGGCCCTCCCTGCCATGGGCCACACCTGGGTTAGGGACCGGATACACCTCTCCCATTTGGCACTCTGACATTTAAGAGGTGAAGAACTTAAGAGCGTTGAAGAAGTTCAGGAAGGTTAGTTAACTTACTCTAGGTAACAGCTTGGAAAGGGCAGGACCACTGATCATCTTCTGTCATGCCCCCTCCTCAGCCTAGAGCCCGTGACCTGGGAGCTCCATGAGGGCAGGGACCACGTCTGTCTTGTTTGCCACCCTTTCCCCAGGGCCTCGCTCAAGAACTGGCTCCCAGGTGCTGCTCAACCAGCAAAGAAATAAAGGGATGCTTCCCAACTCCTGTTCATTCTTTACAACATGATTCTGGCACCACCTCCTTCAAGAAGTCTTCCCTGACCTCCCGCTCTCCAGTCTGTGCTGGCTGCCCCTTCTCTGTGCTTCCTCTCCAGGCACCCTAAGCTCACTTTCCCCCAACATCCCACACTGTCTCCTTCGTTAGCTGGGGAGCTGGGAGTGGACCTCTGTAGCTTTAGCCTGCACATTTATTGTCCCTCCTATCAAAGCCTTTTTGCTATTTCTTTGTGTCATACCCCCCTTCCCAAGTCTCCCTCAGTCATTATTGCTATGTTGGGGTGGTCCCACTCCAATCTCCAGGGGCGAAGAAATGACACAGAGCTATCCTATCATAGACTTGCAGTTTTCTGGGACCTAGGGATTGGTTCAGGAATGGTCATGTGACCCAAACAAGGCCAGTCAGTGAGTAAGGCTCAATTCCAGGCTTTGGTTCAAGTGGTTGGGTAAGAGAAGTTTTCTTTCTGTTGGACTTGCCGCCATGTGAGTGAACTGGCTGAGATGGAGCCAACAGAGAAGAAAGCAGAAGTGAGGTGGGTAGAATGTGAGTCCTGAAATGTTACCTCTGGAGTTTTCATTGCCACAAGCCAATAAATCCCCCTTTGTCTCAAACTAATTTGATTTGTGTTCTGACACTTGCAACAGACACAGAATTCTTAAAGGGAAGGAATGGGTCTTTTCATCTTGATCTCTTGAGTGCTCAGTGCCACATGGCATGCAGTAGGCACTCAATCAGTGTTCACTGAATGGATCTCTCTGGCCCCAAAGCCCATACCCTATCCCCTGTCATTGCATGCTTGCATGACGAGGGCACCAGGCACGCAGGAAGAGTGTGTGTGTGCTGCCCCTGAGAGCAGCTGACTGGCCCCTCTTCAGGTGAACGTGGCTCACAGCAGTGTTTACAGGGAGAGGGACCCAAGGGACTGGCTGCCAGAGTGCCCCTCTGCCACATTCATGACTTATAAGAAACCCACCTCTCCCTCCTCCCATTGAGATGGAAGTAAGTCTGAGAGAGGAGTGGACATCCGGTAGCCCTGGTGCTTAACAAGGATGCTTCCATGCGGCTGTCAGAGCACAGGAGGGCCTGCAGAGGACTCCCTGTTGTCTCCCTGCAGCAGCTGGGCAGAGCTGGAGAGACCCCAGACTTCAAGGGTCAAGACACCAGGGTTCTACTCTTAGTGCTGTCATTGGTCAGCTCTGTGACCCTGGACAAGTCACTTTCCTTCTCTGAACTTTCTTCTCCCACCTGTAAAATGGGGTTATTAAAATATCTGCCCTGCAGGTTGTTGTGCCTAGGAAAGTGCCCTGTGGGTAAGAGGCACTGGCCGGAGGGTGAGGTGGCATTACAGGCTCCTCACTGTATTCCTCAGCCACCTCCCGTTATGGCTGGTGCTTCTCCCTGGAGACGGCCTTTGTCTCTTACCTCTCTGTCATGGCCACCTGCTCCAGCATGGCGGAGCCTGTGTTGGCCTTCCAGTTTCCAGAGATGGACGTTCTCCTGTACCAGAACAAACAACACACGGGGGGCGTTAGGGACGCCTGCTCTGCTCCCCTCCGTTCCTTTGGCCCTCGGGAGGTTCCAGTGCAAATATCTGGCTCACATTATGGCAGGTATTCTGAAGTGCACAGCTGTCCTCAGCTTTATTTTCCTGTGTCTATTTTCCTTTATCTTGACTGCCTTACTTATTTGTTGGATCTTACGTATCTTTTCCTAAGCCACCTTTGAAATCCCATAATCAAATTTAAAAAATGCCTTCACCATCAGAGGAAATCCCCTAAGACTTGGCCTCTTATTTTTAAAGAACTAGGGCAGTAGTGCCCCCCAGTGATGCTGGAATTTGTTAAGGGCCTCACAATGCAGGGAAAATGATCCACGGAGAGAAGCGATTACTTTTCTATGGGGACGCACGGGAAGGCGTCTGGGCTCCTCACCCCTCTCTCCGTCTGCCTTTCCTGTTCCAGCCGCAGCTGACGTCGCTGCGGGTGCTCTCACCCGCATGGCTCTTTCCTGTGTCGAGGCTCCCACCTGGGGTCTTCTCTTTGCCTGACCCAGTCTTCGTCTCCATCGTTGCCTCCCTAAGTCTTGTTCCTCCTGCAAGTTTTCACCTGAAATGTGACTTTGCGGCAGCCCACCTTCCCCAACTAGAGCAGCCGCCCCGACGCTATGCGCTATACCAATGTTCAGGAATGCTCATCTCACTTGTAATGACTTCCTTACCTTCCTGTCTTCCCTGAGGGCAGGGGACATGTTTGACTCATCTCCTGTCTCCCCAGCGTCCAGGGGGACCTGGCATGCAGTAGGTGCCCGGTAACTACTTACAGGGTGAGGAACTGTGCATAACTGGGTAAAATCCACACAAACTCTCTCCATTGGCATAGTGGGACTCAGCATGTTGTGGAGATTAGCAGGTGGACTAGAGAGGGGAATCATTACAAAAATATGCCCTTCTAAAACAGAAAATAAAATGTATCGGGGTGGGGGGGACAGCAGGTGCTGAAAATTGACGGTGGTTGATAGGAGCTAGAATTACTAAGGGCTGCACGGACATTGATAAGCTTTTGTCAATTCAGATTCATTCAAGTTCAGCCCAACTCAATTCAGCTCAGTTTGACAAACACCCCGTGGGCACCCTATATCTGGAGTGCTGGATGAGCTGGAGCCTGCAGAGATGACCTCTTCAGGCTGCTCACTACCGGAAAGGCTGGACTAGCCTAAAACCAGAGTAGAGGTTAGTTCACATGAGGAATGATGAGCAAAGGAGAGCCCAGGGTCACTTGCTGTGGCCCCAGGAGGCGGCCTCCAAGATGCACCTCGGAGGACGGGTAGGGATTGTTACAGTGCAACCTGCGTGGTGGTAAAAGGTAAGAACTGACCTGAGTCAGGCAGATAGGAGTGTGAATCTTGGTTCCAGCATTTTCCAGCTGTATGACCATGGACAGCATCTCTGAATGTTTATTTTCTCATTGTTAAAATGGCAATAATTATTGTATCAACCTTACAGGATTGTGTGGATTTAAAGGGAATCTTCCCATAAATCTCCTAGTACCATGGGTGCCACCATGATTTTTTAGTAAGTGGAGACAAGAAGAAGAGGCGTGCCAGTGCCCGAGGCAGCAGGAACACAGCCAGACTGCCACCCTTCCAGGAAGATAATGATGGTGAACGCTGAGGTTTAAGGAGTGCTTACTATGCCAGAGCCATGGGTCTAAGGGCTTTATAAGCACTGGCTCATTTCAGTCTCACAAAACCTAATGGGACGGACATTACCATCACCATCATTCCCACCTAGTGGAGGAAGCCACCAAACCAGATCTGAGAAACGCCTTGCTCTTAACTGTGACCCCCCATGGCAGAGGCAATCACAGGCTTGGGGAAAAGAGTCCATTGGGCCAAATGTAATGCAGCTTGTAGAATGTAGGATGGAGTGTAGACTATGACACAGAAATATACCTGTGTCACGTTGGTATGATGTTGACCCCCCTTGTTGAGGAGGGGAGGGGCAAGTGGAAAGGGGTTGACCTAAGTACCCCTGGCAGTGAGTGGAGGCTGTACAATGACATATGAAACAAACTGTAGGTTGGCACTGTGCTGCAGTTGGTAAACCTGTTCCCCAGGGGCTACAGGTTAATGGTTCTGCAATGGTGCAGCGATTGAACAAATAAGTAAATGGCTGGCAGATGGTGGGAGGCAGGTTTTTCCCTGTTGGACTGGGAGGTTAGACATGAGCAATCTGGGAAGGGCAAAACACATCATGTGGTCCTAGATGAAAGTCTGAGACATCAGTATGAACTCTATGAAGTTTTAGAGGGAGCTGGATATATATAGAAATCATTACGGATATGTGCGTACACATGGGTGAAGACACACACATCTATTTCCTAGCTCTGTCTGCGGAGAGGGCCTGGAAACAATGCCGCCCCTGTAGCAACAAGCACAAAGGCCGAGGGCAGGGCAGGAAGTGGGCCAGAGAGGAGGCTGAATGGCAGGGCGGAGAGGGCGCTCTACCCTGAGGTCTGACATGATCCCCCTCCCTTGGAAGAGGGCCAACCCAGGGTCCAGGAAACGCCATAACTAATGACAAATTGGAGCTGTCAGGGCAGAAAGGCTCAGCAGAAAGGATTGGCAATGAGGTAATCCCCAAGAAGAGAAACTGGGACAAGGTGTCGTCAATGTCAAGTGGAAACGCTAACAATGAGGAGAGGAGGGAAATGATATCATGACAGATGGTGGCAGTGTCAGGAATGCACTGGAATGTTCCTCAACTCAGAGGGGGTGGGGAGGAGGTGGTCTTGGCACCCTGAGGGCATCTGAGAGCAGCGACAGGTCTGGCCAGGCTCATGGGTGGAAGACAGAGATTGGCAAGGCAGGGCAGAGTATTCACTGAGAAGGGGCTCCATCCCTTTCCTGGGAATCTTTCCCAGTGCCCCTGGGAATGGCAGGGTTGGGTAGCTGCATGGCCTGAAAAGCCTAAAACCACCATGTAGCCCTTTATGGCAAAGGTGTGCGGACCCTGGTAAATCTTTAAAATCCAGGTAGTAGCAAAGCAACCCTAGGTAATACATACATGGATGCTTATGGCTGTGATCAATAACAACTTTATTTACGGAAACAGGTGGCAGCTGGATTCGGCCTGTGGGCTGTGGTTTGCTGACCCTGACCTACAGCACAAGCTCCACCACACAGAAGCATATAGAGAGACTTCCAGCTGTGCAGGGCCAGCTGTTGCCATGGTCAAATGCTGAGCCATGCACGCAGTCACCGCTCTGTAAATGCTTGGCAGCCGGGCACCGGCTGGTTCTCTGGGGTCTCGTCATTTCGAGAAGAACCAACATCATTACAATGTGGGAGACAGAGAGGCCACGGAGCAGATAGGACGTCTCTGAAGACTGAGCCCTCCTACCCATTCAAGGACTTCCACTCGGCCTTATGATCGCAGCTCAAGCCCGAGTCATCCCTTGCCCGGACCACCCCTGGGGGGAATGTGTGCTGGATTTTCTAACGTCCAATCCTTTTTCCTTAGTCACAGCACCTCTCTCTCCACTGAGGATGACCCTGCTCATATTGCATGTCATCTTGGTGGGACTTTTCATACTGGTTCTTCAGCTTTTCTCTAACCAATAAGCATGTGAACAAAGTTGGACTAATCAGCATGGTTTCCATGGAATCACCATCTTGAGTTAAGCACTAAAAATGATTCACACAGATTTATTTCCCAATGGCAGTGCCATGAAGATCATCTATTACTTCTGGCTGCCCAGATCCCTGGGGTTGCCTGGCATCCTAATATCTTTGAAATTGATAGTTTAGTGGTTTTGTTTGTTTTTAGAGTTGCTGATCATGCATGGTTCCTAATAAATTTCCTTTTAAAACCTCCATCCAATTAGTCAGATGTGGTTTCTGTTGCTTGCAGCTGGAGAAATCTGATGTAATCTCCAAACTGGTCTTATTATTTCCAGAGAGACCCCTTTGCGGCCCTGGCCCCAGAGCCATATTTTTGTAAATACAGGTCAGATCATGCCACTTCTTTGCTCAGAAGAGAACAAAAGAAAATCTAAAACCCGCAGAAAGGCATTCCAGGCCCTCCTTGACTCATCCCCAAGTTTCTCCTTCAGTTTTGTTTCCTATGACACATACGCCTTATACATTTGAAGTTCCCCCAAACATGCCGAGCACCTTTCTTCCTCTGGGGAAAAGAGCCTTTGTTTGGATAGATTTCTACCCTGGGAAAAGCCATGAGGGAAGGCCAGCATTCAGCCGTGCTGACCAGAGAAGAGGGGCATGGCAGGACTCAGCAAGGGAGAAGAGCGGTGTGCTATGGGGCCTCTGCCCTGGGCTGGAGGGCACAGGGCCGGACACCCACCTCTGACCTCTGACCCCCCACCCTTCCTCCCAGCTCCCAGCCCTGGCCCAGGCACTCACATGTAGGCCTTGTAGTTGGATCCGATTTTCTGGATGCGAATGTCATACTTGGAGTCGATGAAGGCCTCAGTGGTGGCGTAGGTCTTGGCCATAGCCACCATGCTGGTGATGTCCTGGTAGTCATGCTGATTTTCTACTTTGATCTGTGTGGGAGGATGAGGGGTGAGTGCCACCCACCCAGGTTCTACCTCCCCAATGCCAGGATGCAGTGCTCCAACTACAGTGATCTTGAGAAGGCTGCACCTAGCAGGAGAGACAGACACTGGAAGCAAGTCATCCCACGGCGTATTTTTAGAAGAGGAGCATTCCCTTGGGTCGTCAAGGGGACCTTTATGGGAGAGGTGCGCTCCAGACAGGGTTTGGAAGAATAAATACAATTTCCAGGTGGAGTACGGAGCAGCCACATTCACTGGAGAGGATGGAGGGCGGAGGAAGCAGAGGCAGGGGAGGTGACACAGGGAGGGGACAGGCACGTGGTTCAGACTGACCGACAGGGCAGGAGGGTGAGGGACAGCTGAAGGGGTTGCCAGGGAACCAATAGAGGGCCTCAAAAGCATTGTAAGAGGTTAGAATTTTAGCCTGAAGGCTCTGGAAAGCCACTAGAAGAAGAAGAGGAATTTACATAAGGAAGTGGCCTAATTTGTATTTTAGAAAAATCACTCAAGCAGTCGTAGAGAGGTTTGACTAGAGGCATGGGATAGAGAGAGACCAGTTAGAAAGAAGCGTGTGTGTGGTGTGTGTATGTGGAGTGTGTGTGAGTGTGGAGTTTGTGGGAGATGTGTGTGTGGTTTGTGCTGTGTTTGCATGTGCGCTGTGTCTTGCATGTGTGGTGTTATATGTGGTGCTGTGTGTGCAGGCTGTGTGTGTGTGTGTGTGTGCGCGTGCACGCGCACATGCACTGGACAAGGCCAGCTGTGCTCAGCCAAAGGCCTGGGGAAGAAACGACACTGTTTACTGCACTGAGGCCAGGAATACGGGGTGGTGCCCTAGGGTCAGGGAGCGGCCTCAGGAGAGCTTCAGAGGCCAAGCACAGGGGATGAGGCCAAGGCTCCATGGTAGTGATCTCAAGGCAGGACAGAGGCCGACTCCCAGTGGCTGTGGACAGCTGGGCAGGCTGTCCCCTCCTGTCATGCCACTAGGCAGCAGAGGGGTTCTGATGCTGGGCCAGAGGACAGCAGAGCCCAGACCCCCTGGCGGAGCTGGGTGGGTGCTGGGCAGCCTGTGAGGTAGGCTGTCCTGCCCTTCTGACCCCTCCCATTCCTTTCCTGCCTCCCTTCCAGGCTCAGCAGGGCCCTGACAACTCCATCTCTCCATGGCGATGCCCACCCACCTCTGCCCCAGCTTCCCAACTTACAAAGCATCTTCACAGCTCTCCCGTGGGACCTAAACCAGGCGGCGAGGCAGGCAGAGTGGGCAGTATTACGGCCAACAGATGCGGAAACTGAGATTTCGTGCCTTGTCCCAGGTCACATAGCAGCAAAGCACAGAGCTGGGCATGAAACTCAGGACTCCAAAAGCCAGGCTGCTCTCTGAGCCATCCACGGGGCATGGATGAGTGTCCGCCTGGTGTTCCACCCAACAGATGGTGAACAATCCTGGGGACAGAGGCTTGGCAAACCCCCACTCTCCTGGCTCTGTGAGAGTCCCAGCTTCTCAGTGATGACTGAGTCCTTCTTTGTAGAGAAAATAAAGGTGACCAGGCAAAAGTTCTCTATTTCCCATTCCTTTCCAAGCCATCAGTTTTCCCTCTTCTTCCTCCTAGTGTCAGTGGTCAGCATGCTCTTCCTTTGTTGAACTCATGGCAAACATACCCTTTGTTCTAGGTCTTCTAACTCTGACCACTTGATGTCCCTTTCTCCTTCAGGTATAGGACCCTTAAGTTTTACCTGAGCATCTGGAGTCTCAGCTAAAGATTTGTTCCAGACTCTCTTACAGGGAGATGTGGCCAACTCTCCAAGTCTGTGGTTGGACATGTGACCATGTTTTAGCCAGTAGGCTGATGTGAGCAGATGTGGGGCCTGGACTTCCAGGCCTGCTCTTAAAAGGGAATGCTTTTCCTCTTCCTACTGGCTGGAGTGGGGACCATCTCTGACCTTGTGGCTGAAAAGCAATACCCCAGGAATGGGTGGTCCACAGAATGGAAGGATCCTGGGTCCTTGAAACCAAGAAGGCTCCACACTGGCCCTAGGCTGCCTTTAACAAGCCAGCTATGTGACAGCAAAAGCCCTGGTTTGTTGAAGCCACCTTAGGTCTTTGTTACACAGCTGAACTTTGTTCCAATTTTTATAGGAGCCTGAAGTGAATATTTGTTGAGTGCAGCATGCATGCATTCATTTATTCACAGAACAGAGAAACAGCAAAGAAAGTGTAGAAGTAGGGGTAATTAGGGGTCAGTCTAACCTCAGTTTGTGAATCTTTTCCGGTGTTTTGCGGGGGTGCTCGTCCTGCCCCCTCCAGGAGTGGGGGTGACCCAGGGCTCTTCCAAAACTCCAGCAGAGGCCCTGGCCCAGCATTCCTAGCAGGGTTATGTTCTTTTCCTTTCAGAGGACCCCCAAATTATATAAAGTCTGGACCCCATAAAACCCAGCACCTCCTATGTCGATCTCCTATTAGCCTGCCAGCTTCTTGAGGCACACCTACTTCTTCCTCCTAGTGTAGGAGGAAACCTGATGGCTTGGAAATGCCAGACAATGTGCCTTGTTCCCATTTGTGACCCCGGTGCCTGGCACACCACAGATGCTCCAAATGCGTTTGCTGGGCCGAATTTAAGAAGGATGGAGAAAGATCAGCTCATAACTCAAGAGCAGGCAGGGGAATGGCAGCAGAGGGGTTCTGATGCTGGGCCAGAGGACAGCAGAGCCCAGACCCCCTGGCGGAGCTGGGTGGGTGCTGGGCAGCCTGTGCGGTAGGCTGTCCTGCCCTTCTGACCCCTCCCATTCCTTTCCTGCCTCCCTTCCAGGCTCAGCAGGGCCCTGACAACTCCATCTCTCCATGGCGATGCCCACCCACCTCTGCCCCAGCTTCCCAACTTACAAAGCAAAACTACCAGAGTTTGGGAAAGGCAAGGAAAACGTGTCTCAGGGAAACTTATCTTTTATAAGGTATTTTCTGTAAACGTTTGGCCTGGATTCTACACTCCAGAGGTTTAGAGCCTCCATCATGAGAACCTGATGAGGTCAGGGACTCTGAAGAAGGGGGCAGGTGGCCTGGACCCGGGGTGGGTGGGCGCTGGAGGGGCTGTGGCCTGGTTCTCAGGCATAAAGGGCAGGTGGGATGAGAGGGTATCGAGGACGGGCAGCAGGGGGGTGCTGAGATGGCTGCTGGCCCGGGGAGTCTTGGCACTCTGCTTTACTTACTAGCTGGAAACCCCTCCAAGAATTCACAAAGACAAGCTGACAACAGGAAGCCCTAAATGAGCTGTGACTCAAGATGCCCCGTGTGCTGCTCTGGGGACCTGTCCCGGGGCCACTGGGAGGTCCCTGACTCTGGAGACCCACAGCCACCACCCGCCCTGTCCCTCCTCCCAGAGTCCTGACCCTTGACCCTTCTCTCCCTCCTTCCTCGGTCCTCTCTCCCCACAGCTTGGCCTTCTCTCATCATTTCTTTGTGCTTTCAATGCCAGTGGTCTCCTCTTTGTCTCTTTCCCTCTTCCTTCTTCCTGTTGGCTCATTTTCTTCTCTCTTCGTCCTCAGTTTCCCCCTGTCACCTCGTCCCCTCCTTGGTCTTCTCTGACCCTTCCCCTTCCTCCTGCCATTTCTCCATCCCTGCTTCTCCTCCCTCCCCTCACTGGATTCCATTCCTTTGCCCACACTCTTCTCCTCTCCTGTGCCTTGAGTTGCTTTACTTCCGGTGTGTGTGTGTGTGTGTGTGTTCCTGTGCACGTGGGCATGTGTACTTGGGCCTGAGGCTGAGCAGGCAGCAAGGAGAGGGGATAGAATACCATCCTGCATCTTCTCAATGACATTCACCTCGGGGGTCTCCTCTTAATTTCCAGCCTGGGACGGCAGGGTCATTTTGACATCCTCACTAGACTGTCCGCTATTTGCTTCAGTGCCTCCAACAACAGGGAGCTCATTACTGGGTGCGGCAGCTCCTTCCACTTTGGGGGAACTTGTTCCCCTGTCCAGCGAGGGTGAAGGAATGGTGCCAGCAGGTGAGTCTCAGCCCTCAGCCTTGTGTCTGCTCTTCATCCATTCAAAGACAGTCACCCAGGTGTGCCCAGGTAACTCTGTTCTTTAGACCACCCTAACATAAGCTGGTTCCTGACCCTTTACTACCTTGAACTGCTCTCATTTGACAACCTCTTAAACTACGCAGTACCCCAAATTACACACCATACTCCAGTTGGTTTTCACCAGCTGAGACTGGATAAAAGCATCTTTATCTGGAACACATCTGGCATAATCCTGCCTCAGGGCCTTTGTGCTTGCTGGTCCTTGCCTGCAGGGATCACACCTTCACTTCATGCAGGTATCTGCTCCAGCATGATCTTCTCTGAGCTGTCTTCCTGAACTATCACGTGAAGTCACTCCTTCCACCCAGCACTCCTTATCCACCTGACCCTGCTTCATTTTCTCCATCACTTCCACCACCAGTCCACACCATTATCTAACTGTTACCTTCCTTCCCTGCCATTCCATGAGAATGTCAGCTCTGCAAGAGCACTGCTGTATTTCAAACACCCAGAACAGCACCCAGGGAACAACAGGTGACTGATATATTTAATGATTAAGTAAGCAGACCTAAGTATTTACAGATACATACTGAGAACCCTTTATGCCCAGATAATGACCAATTGTTTTTCCAGATACTATGCTGGAGGCTGGGGATGCAATAGGCAACGAGAGATTTATGATTCTTATCTAAATGGAGCTTCGAGCCTATTAATTATCATCTCCTATTAATGTTAGCATTTCTAAGATGCAAATGGAGCTTGTTCTAAGCTAGCCTCTTCAGCTCACTTTTAAACATGAGGTCCTGAGAGTCCACGTCTCTCCGAGCTTGGACCTGAGGGGTTTTAACCCCAGAGCAGGACCTTCCATTTATCCCCCATGAAGAAGCTCTCACGTTGCTTTGCTTTTATCTTCCAATATTGACTCTGTCATCTAACCTGTTAACTGTCCCTGCCAGCTCCATGTCATTC